GGGCTGAAGAAGGAAGATCATGAGCTTAGAGCCAGCCTGGGCTAAACCTTGAGGCCGTCTCACAGATAGAAACTAACAAAAAGCACTGACAAATCCATATGAAACACTATCAGTTGATTAATAATGTTTTGCTCAGCCTGCATCTCATTGGAAGAGCGCCTGTATAACATGAGGATGATCCTGGGTACAATCTCCAGTACTGCAATAACAGCAATGACATTGTTTATCAGTGTGTATTTGGGATTTTTGTTTGTTTGTTTGGTTGGTTTGGTTTGGTTTGGTTTTTGTTTTTTCGAGACTGGGTTTCCCTGTGTAGCCCTAGCCATCCTGGAACTGTAGACCAGGCTGGCCTTGAACCTGGAGATCTGCTGGCCTCTGCCATCCAACTGCTGGGATTAAAGACTTGTGCCATCACCTCCTGGTTGTGTGTTTTTGTTTTTAATTACTGGGGTGGGTGGGGCTGGTATGTGCATATGAGCATAGGTGCCTGTGGAGGACTTAGCTGTCAGATCAACCGGAGTAGCAGTCAGCCAATGTAATTGTATCTTTTAATACACTAAGTTCTTTCTTAATGATAAAATATACAAATATGTTTTTCATTTCATCATTATGCAGTTCTCAAGGCTTGAGGAGTCCAAGTACTACAGTGTCATGAGGTCAGCCAACATTTTTGGCTTTAAAAGGTAACTTTCAAACTAGAAAATCTGGAAGAACTGGTGAAGGCTTCACCCTAGGGATTTACTTCAGGTGTAAGCTCAAATGAAAACTGAGGCTAGTTGTCGTCACCTTGTTACTTAGTCAAAAAAAAAAAAAAAAAAAAGGTGGGCAGAGTTGTTAGAGCCCAAAGCCAAGATACAAAGTTAGCCCACGGAAATCTAAGCATTTTTTTCTTATTCCAGGCTCTCTAGCACAAGCATTCTATGCCTTTCTGAACTGTTCTTCTATCATTAAGCCAGAAGGGAGACATTCACGGACCTCAATTTTTGTAAAGTATCATAAGTATCAAAAGAACTTTTCAAAGAACATCCAGCCTGTCTGAAGTGAAGAATACAAAGTTTTAATAACATTATAGAAAAACTCTGAACTCTTTACTTATATTGAGGGAAAACATCATCTTTAATTCACACACACACAAATCACATCAATATTTCCCTTTCAATTATATCTAGTCATGCTTTATTTCAGTATCAAACTGGAAATCACTTCTCATCTTTTAGAAGCTGCTATTACTTTCTAACACTCCCCTAATGTGATTTTACCATATGACGCAGAGTGCTTCATCTTTACAGCCAAGAACAAAGGAGTCCAGAAGCCAGCTTGTCTTTACTACAAAGTGTTTCTACAGAAGGGATTAAAAGCAACAGGATGCAGTCATGATAAGGTTGGACAAGCACACTGTACACTGGCGAATTATTAAGTAAACTCCGAAACCCTCTGTTTAGCATCAACTTGCATAGTTATTCACTAACCCTCTTGTAGTCCAAGTGTTATAACTGCAGATGCTATTTATGATTGCCTCGTGGAAACCCTTGTGAGACAGAGTTTTTAGCTCCAAGGGCTTTTCTCAATACACTTTTTGTTCAGGATTTTGCAGAACATACACAAAGGTGGTCTCTGAGAACAGCACCCCTAAAAGTGAACCCACAGACCCACCCCTAAATAAAGTCTGTAGGGTTTGTTCCTTTTTTTTTTTTTTTTTTTTTTTTGAGACAGGGTTTCTTTGTGGCTTTGGAGCCTGTCCTGGAACTAGCTCTTGTAGACCAGGCTGGCCTCGAACTCCCAGAGATCTGCCTGCCTCTGCCTCCCAAGTGCTGGGATTAAAGGCGTGTGCCACCACCGCCTGGCTGTTCCTTATTTCTTCTAAAAATTGTTAAAGAACATTCTAATACACCCCCAAATTTGGAAATGGTATGGTGATATGGGAGTATCATATCAATCTGTTGATTTCATTGGCTGAGCAATAAAAGAAACTGCTTGGCTGGCCCTGATAGGTTAAAGCATTGGTAGGAGGAGTAAACAGAATAGGATGCTGGGCGGAAGAGGAAGTGAGGTCAGATTCTGCTCTGCTCCCGGACAGGATGGATGGAGGCTAGAATCTTCCCGGTAAGCGCACCTTGGGGTGCTTACACGCATTATTAGAAATGGGCTAGTCCAGGTGCGAGAATTAGCCTGTAAGGGCTAGAGTTCATGGGCCAAGCAGTTCTTAAATGAATACAGTTTGTGTGTTGTTATTTCGGGCATGAGCTAGCCAAGCGGCGGGGGTGTTGGGGACGCAGCCCCGCCGCCACTCTTATTTCAACAGTATGGGTTTGTCCTGGAGAAAACAGCCACATGGTCTTCCAGATCAGTGACTGGGGTCATACGCATGCATAACTCCAGGCCTTCAGCTTCCACAGATCTGCAAGCCCTAAATTGAATTTTCTTTCATTCCACAGGTTCTGTCTGATTATGATAATTGGTTCTACACTGTCTCGTTTTGTGTCTGGATTGATATGCTGACATTTCTGGAAGCAGAGGATTTACAGGAGACCTAGTTTTCTGGTTAAAAAACATAGCAACGAAAAGCAGACCAGTGACATCTTGCCTTTTAGTGTGCTTGTATTGAGAAGGGACTTGTGAGTCTACCATTTCTGTTAATATTACTACTTGCTTAAGATTATACTCATTTACTTATTGTGTTAAGGACGTATGTGTGTCACAATATTCATGTGGAGGTCAGAAGACAACTTGTAGGAGTCAGTTCTTACCTTGCACCTTGTGGGCTCCTGGTATCAGACTCAGCTTGTCAGGCAGGGAAGCAGGCACCCTTACCCACTGAGCTATCTGCCTACTCTGTTTTGTTTGTTGTTTTGTTTTCTGAGACAGGGTCTTGTTATGTAGTACAGTATCAAACTTACAACCCTCCTGTCTATACATTCCCATTGCTGAGGGTGCCGCCCTACCCAGCTAATATTACTGTTATTACTTTTATACTTTTAGTTGGCATTCCCCTACAAGAAAAACTTTCTCGTTTCTTTCTATCACCATGGACTCATCACTAACAGATTGCAGTCTGTTATTATTACTACTTATTTTGATACTAGTGGGCTAGGACTGTGGGTCAGTACCTTCCTTGCATGTGGGTGGCCTCTCAGTACCATGAGGGGGAAAAAAAGAAAAGGAAGGAAGGAGGAGGCAAAGAGAGAAGAAAGAGTATTTTGAAGATAACTGTTGTTCTTAACAATACCTTCACAATAAGTGTTAGAAATAATACAGCTTTATTGGGAACGGTTTCTTTGATTCTCACAACTCTGTTGAGCAAAAAAGTCATCTCTCCCCTAGGTGGTGCGCTAAAGCCTTCTTTGCTAGTACAGACTGAGGCTAGACACCTAGATTTCTAACCCTAGGTCCTTGGTATTTCTAGTCTATTAAGAAGACTTCCTTAAGGAACAAAGAGGAAAACCTTGCAGACCCACCACACTATGGGGAAAGGGTGTGGTGATATGTCACTTTTATCCCAGCAAGAGACTGAGTCAGGTGGATCTCTGTGAGTTCCCAGCCAGCCTAATCTACATAGCAAGTGCCAGGCTAGCTGGGGCTACACAGTGAGATGCTGTGCAAATAACAAAAACAAACCTTACACTGGGGAGGCTTTCTTGTCCTTCACCAGACCACTATCCCAGGAGCAGGTGCTTAAAGTGAAACTGAGTTGAGCAAGGTGCATTTTATAACTCCAGACGGCTGGAGCTGGATGGAGCTTAGGGGTAGTGATTGTCTGCCAGGAACGAGGCACCAAGTTCATCCACAGCACTGAAAAAAGAAATTAGGGTAATGTTTTCCTTCCTCTAAATTACCCAAGGTCTTATTCGTTTATATGGAGAAACTAAAGTAACTGAGGATCTGTAACTTCTTCCTGGTATTTTTTCCTATTTTTGACCATAATAATTTGTGTACATTTTCTTAAGGCCACACAAGACTTTCTTTTTCTTTTTTCCCTTTTTTTCTTTCTTTCTTTTTTGGATAAGGCAAACTTATAACTGCTTTCCATTTTAGTTCTGGCGACACTCCGGATCTATACGAAGGCGTTACTAACTTCATGAGATCTCTAGCACTACTGCCAAAGCTGAACGTGTACTTTTCTCTCCTCATTTGTTAAAATTCTCCTGTCCTCCGTATTTATCAGCTCTAACATCCTAACAGTTGCGCCGACCTTTCCCCGTCTGAGAGTTTTCACGTGTGAGGTAAGGTACCCGATGGTGCTAAAAGCTCAAGCCAAGAAACAGCAGTCGGTGTCAACAAGCGGACCCTGCCCTACTGGCCTCAAGTGCAACGCCTGCTCCCAGGTGTTTATCTTGGGCTCTACGAACCTTTAAAAACAAAATTCTACGCAAAGCTGCTGGCAACTTTTCCCAAGGGAGGCGGCTCCCACGGGCCGGTCCCAGCCTCCGAACGTCAAGTGGCTAGCGACCGCCGTTTTAGGACTTGATTTCCTTTCCCCGGGAGGCCAGGGCTCAGACATTCAGGAGCAGATTTGGCTCAATAGCGTTCTGCCGGCCTTAACCTCGCGACGGACCCCGAATCTCCCTCCGCGCATCACCGAGAGCAAAGCCGATGACGGCTGGCCCGCTTCCGAAACCTTCGGGAGGGAAAATGACGCCCACTGCCCGGAGCCGGGAGTCTTTCGCAGTTGGGTGCAAGACACGCCAGGGAGCCGACCTGGTCGCCGCAGCCGACTCCACACTCCGGAACTGGAGTGCACTCACTGAGGAGCCTCGACGCTGACAAAGGGGCGGGGCTGCCGGCCGCACCCTCTCCGCCTTCACCCGCCTCCTTTGTTCCTTCCTGGGCCTCTATTGGCTAATGATACCCGGGCCCGCGACCTTCTTTGAGACGCTATTGGATGATGTCGCTGCCGCTCTGCCGGGGGCCCATTCGCAATTGGTCAAGTCGCCGCCCCGGTTTGAATCGTCTCCCCCGCCTGGGAGGGCTCTGCCAAAGTGCCACGTTGGGCCGGGCAGCGGGCGTGAGGAGCCGGCTCCGGGCGCCACCCCGGGGTGCGCTCGCTAGGGCGCTGGCCGTTGGGCGGCGCGGGGTGGCCGCGGGCCGGCGGCGGGAGCTGCGGCGGGGCCGGTGCGTCCCGCCCGAGGGCGGCTCTGGCTGAGGGCGGAGGAGCCGGGGGACAGCCCGGGGCAGCGGCCGAGACGGCACGGCGGCAGCAGAGCCCGCTGCCCCCGGACGCCCCCGGCGACATGCTGACAGATAACCTGGTGGAGGAGTTTGAGATAGAGGATGAGCCGTGGTACGACCACCGGGACCTCCAGCAAGGTGAGGGCGAGGTCGCCAGGGGTGGGGGGTGGGAGGCCCGGGAGGCGGCTGGTGTGGAAAGTGCTAGAAAGTTCCTTAGGGTGGTGGTCTGAGACGCGCCGCCGGGGGCTCCTCACGCTCACCTGGCGGCGGATCCGCCCATCCCGGCGTCCGGGAGCGAGCGCGCGGCCCACGGCCCTGCGGATGCGCAACACTGGCTTGATGATGGTCGGCGCTTTAAGAAAGCGCTTCCTCTGAGGATGAGCGGATCTGTCTCCTTCGGGGACCTCTGAGGTGGGCAGGGGTGAACCAGCGTGTCCCGCTCTAGAAGCAGGCTGCTGACTGGGCTCCGGGTCCTGCTGCCTTGCCCGCTCTCATCTGCTCGCTTTTCATGGCCCGCAGAGTCTGCAAGCCGCTGCAGGTGGTGGGGGGGCAGTACTGCGGTGCGGTACCCGCGCCATCACTCTGTGAGAGTAACGTTTTGTTATCCCGTTTTCCAGAAAGCAGATGCTAAAAGAGTTAAGTGGACTTCCTAAAGCCGAATATAGGAGCGAATAATTCTGATCCCACACACTCGAGCCTGTAGACACTGTTGAGACCTTAGCATCCCGGTTTACAACTTACTCACTTGGGTGTCAAACTGTTTTATTACTTAGGCATCGTTCATCGGGTGCCAGGTGAAATTATTTGAAAAGAGTTCTAGCATGCCCTTCTTTCTTTTTTCTCTTTCTTCCTTTCTTCCTTCCTTCCTTCCTTCCTTCCTTCCTTCCTTCCTTCCTTCCTTCCTTTCTTTCTTTCTTTCTTTCTTTCTTTCTTTCTTTCTTTCTTTCTTTCTTTCTTTCTTTCTTTCTTTCTTTTGCATTTTGGGTTTTCAATTAAAAATTATCCCTGCCTTGGTTTTCTTGATTGATTGCGGCATCTCCAGAGAACAGTCTCAGAGTGCCCTCAATCAGAAGCCAGTGGCACGTTTTCTTTCACATTGTAGCAAGGTTTTGCGCTTAAGGACACTGATAGGCCCCTTTTATTCTCCCAGTAACATCAAGTGTTGCCATAGGTTACCTCTGACTCAAGTAGATACTGCTGTGGAAACGGTTTTCACTGCAGACTTCAAAGCAGGCATTCTTAACCACCATGCAGAGTGATCTTCAGGAATTCTTTCAAGCATCCTGTTTGTGCTATTCTATAGAATTTTTTTTTTCACTCTAAACTTGCAGTGAAAATATCCGAGTTGGCTATTAAACACAATTCGACTGAATTTGAAAGAAAAAAGAAAATGTGGACTTGAATGACCCATACTTAGAAAAGAGAACAAGAAAACAAGTACCTCTTTGGAGAGGTGGTAATTTGTTATTTATTTCTGTCAGTCTTGATCCCTTAATGTGCAGTGACTTAAGCCCAAATGGCTATCTGTCCTTTTATAATCGAAGCTACCTAGCAGTTACAGAGCCTGTTGGCCATCACATTTCCCCGTGTCACACGTTTGTCATACATTAGCCTATTTCAGATTTGTCCCATAAGGACTGATGACCTACTTTGATAGTTCAGGACTGAAGCAATCACCATGCAAGTCAACATTTTACTATATGAAAGCAATTCATGTTATCCAAGCAAGATATTTTTCTTTGCCATATTTAAGAAACATCCAAAATCTTCAAGGGCAGCCTGGTCTCCCATATCTAACTTCATATTTAATACTTCATAGTAAAAGTTTGATTTTGTTTTTGTTGATTGAACTGAAGCTCGCTCTCTCCTCTCTCTCTCTCTCTCTCTCTCTCTCTCTCTCTCTCTCTCACACACACACACACACACACACACACACACACACAGACTCTCTGTCATTACTGTTTTCACAGCTCTCCTCTCTCCAGAGCCCTAGTCCACCTAACCAAACCCACCTCCCCTGGAGCTTATCAGGACAACCAATTGTAATATCTCTATCTGCTGAGCAGTACACAAAGCACATTTGGGGCTGTGTGTGAGATTCTTAACTTCTGATCAAAATGAAGTTGTCACATCTTCAAGTTTAACAAATCCTAACCTCTGAACTTACTGTCAAATTCCACTTGGAATGTCTTCTATACTTTCCAAAGACTTTTGTTTTGTTTTGTTTTTCAAGACAGGGTTTCTCTGTAGCTTTGGAGCCTGTTCTGGAACTAGCTCTTGTGGCCCAGGCTGGCCTCAGACTCACAGAGAGTCGCCTGCCTCTGCCTCCTGAGAGGCATGCACCACCACCGCCTGGCTTTCCGAAGACTTTTTTACATCTGTTATCACAGTAGACTTTGCCATAGCTTCTATCATAGTCATGTTGAGTACAAATGGAAGATGTGAAATCCCAACTGTTCACTTGTCAGTGTGTCCCTGAATGAATGGTGGCTGCTCTTTTGAGCATATCTTCTTCAGTTTTGCTGACTTGCATGTTATAAACAGTTTTGTGTATTTGGTGTGCTGGGGTTGATCCCAGGGCCTCAATGCATGCTAGGCAAGCAATGTACCCCTCAGCCAGCCAAGAACTAAACTTGGAACAGAGTTTACAACTGTTTCTCAAGAACATATTGCTTTCTCTATACTAGGTATTCATGTAGGCAGCAGCCCACTGCCCTAGCCAGCTATCTGTTAGGAAGGCAGGACTCCCCTCATGGAGTGGTGTTCATGAATCCGTTTATTAGAGGCATCAGGAGATGCTAGTAAACGGAGACACTCAGCATTTGATGAGTAGTTGGGGACCAGCACTGTCTCTTTGGGTAGATTAAGGAGCTCTCGTCAGATTTTATCATCTTCATTGTTAACTTAGGTAGATTCGTATTGAATAGATGGCCTAAAACACTTTACAAAAAAAAATTGAGCCTTGTTTAAGGTAAGTTCTTGCTCTGTAGCCCAAGCTGGCTTTGAACTCATGGCAGTCCTTCTACCTCAGAATCCTAGTTATGGTTATGATTCCTGTGCTGAAACACCATGACCAAAAGCAAGTTAGGGAGGAGAGGGTTTGTTTGGCTTGCACTTTGATAATTATAGCCCATCACTGAAGGAATTCAGGACAGGAACTCAGGCAGGGCTGGAACCTGGAGTCAGGAGCTGATGCTGAGGCCGAGAGGCTTCCTCCTCTCTGATGTCTCTACCTTATGTCAAATTGACAAAAAAAACTAGCCAGCACACTCAACCTCCCATTGAGCTCAAATGTGTAAGCCATAGAGCCTAACTTTTTTTTTGTAGTGCGGGCTGGGACATACCATGGTGTGTATATGGAGGTCAGAAGACGTCAGTTCTCGTTCCACCGTGTAGGTCCTGGGAGTTTGACTCAGGTTATCAGGCTCAATGGCTGGTGCTTTTACCCACTGAGCCATCTTACCAGTTCTTATTTACTTTTTGAGACAGGATTTCGGTGTGTAACCCAGGCTAACCTCAAACTCATGACAGACTTCATGCCTAAGCCCGCTGAATAATCAATTAGATCACCGTGCCTAGTTTTCCTAACATTTTCTAAAGCATTAGGACTAATTAGGACTATTACATTTTTTTTAATTTATAAATGTATGCCACTATCAAAGTAGGCTGTGTCAATGTTTGTTAGAGCCTTCCTTTCTATTCAAATTAAAATAATGAAAACATTCTAACCTCCGTCAACTCTGATCTTGTTACGTGTAGAGCTGAGGAGACACAGAAATGCTTTGACAAGTAGACTTTTGTTAGAGGACTGAGTTGGCACACTAAGAATACTGACAGTAATCCCTGGGCACGGTCTTTTCTGGGACAGCAGGAGCCTTCTATGTAAGTAATGATGGTGCTTGCTTTGAAATGTGCCCCCAAGAACAAGGTGGAAAGGCTTCAAAGACTGGTTTTCCTTTAGACCAGCTGTTGTGACAGTTGTCATTTGTGGAGCGACACAAGGTTTAGAATAAATGTTCAGAGTTACGGTGTATAGATCACCAAATGAAGTCGTAGTTGAAAGGAATCCTGAAATTCCATTGCAAGATGAGCATCTTTCTAAATTTCAGTGTGAGCTCATCTCTGAATTCCTAATGTGCACTTAATTACTGAATCACTGTTTGGAGAGTCATTAAAATTGACACCATCCTTTTTTTGATGTTTATGTTGAGGTAGTGTGTTCTCTATTATAGCAATGTTGGCAACAGATATTGCATAGAAACTGCACCAGATGACACACTTGACTTTGTAATAGGAAAAGTTTTCAGCCTTCATGTTACTGAATTACTGTTGCAGACTGCAACCAATAAAATGCTATCCTCAAAGTTTTTGTTAGTTTGTGTTTAGAAACAAGTAAAATGAGAAGAATGTAATAAATTCTGTAAGAAAGTATCACTCAGGTACTATTGCTCATGTTTTTGCCCAAGTACAGGGCTGAGTGAATATCTTTTTAAAGCTAGTAGCCTGTCCTGTGAAAGCAGAGCATATTAGGGCCAAGGATATAATTCAGTGGTAGAGCACTTGCTTATTGTATGAGGTTCTGGGTTTGATCCAAGAATTAAGAAAAAATTTGTCTGACAAAACTGATCAATGGAAAAATATCAAACATATAGAGCACCGATACATTGTAAATCTATGATATTTATAGTGACTGCCTAAGCCAGACCAATTGGGTAGGATTTAGAAAAGACAATGGAAATCCTCACTGTAATAGCGAGATAAGCAGGTGTGCAAGGCCTTGGAACTATATGGTTTCCTTTCCTTTTGTGCCTTAATTAAAAAATAAAATTAAAGGACATTCAGCATTCTCCTGTTTCCCTCTACCAATTACTTAGAAAGGTTTCTTGGGCTTCCTGCCAGCTTTTGGCTCTTTTTGGTTATACAGGCAAGATGCTACACAACAGGAAATGACGCTTTTTAAAAGACTGAAGCAGTCTGTTGTCTTTACACTATCAGATGAAGTAATGTCCCTTTTATACAGTGTGACTTCACAGGTGCTTCTTGTAGTTAAGCTTTGACTCACTAGAATTTTAAACATTTCATGAAATATTCAAAAGACTGAAGCTTCAGGTTGCTGAGCCTGGTGGGGACTCTGTTTA